GCCTCCTGCACGAGGCCGTAGAGCTCCGAGGTGGACGCCTGGTAGAAGCGCGTCTTCCCGGCGAGGCCCGACGAGCGGATCGCGTTGAGCAGCCGCAGCGTGCCGAGACCGTCTGTGTCAGCCGTGTACTCTGACATCTCGAACGAGACTTTGACGTGCGACTGGGCGCCGAGGTTGTACAACTCGTCGGGCCTCACGGAGGAGACAATCTCGAAGCAGTTGGTCGAGTCGGTCAGGTCGCCGTAGTGCAGGTACAGCATGCGCGTGTCCACATGCGGGTCTTCGTACAGGTCCTCGATCCGGCGGGTGTTGAAGGAGGATGAGCGGCGGATGACGCCGTGCACCGCATACCCCTTTTTGAGCAGCAGCTCCGCAAGGTAGGACCCGTCCTGCCCAGTGATGCCAGTGATGAGAGCGACCTTATGTTCCGCCATCGCGATCGAGTCCCCGCCAAGACTGTCGAGGGCGATCGAGTCTTGTGCAAACACCCTGTGCGACACAAAGAGAAATCTAAGGGTCTGCCTGGCGCTGCGCTGCTCGCACGCTGCACTGCACAAAGCTGCGACAACAAGGGGAGGCTCCTGAGCTTGAGCGTTGAGCAGTGCAGCTGCGGGCGCTCGTGGGCGGCTGTGCAGTGGTGAGAGTGCCTGATTGGAGGCGAGCTGGTGCTGCGCCAGGGTGCGCAGCATGCGCTCTTGCTCTGTGCTGAGGCATGCTGGCTGGCGCCCAACACAATGCCCTGGATGCATTGCTCCACGCCGTGCTGGCTGGTGCAGTACTGCCAGTGCGCCGACTGGCGCGCAGGGTGCGCGTCGCCGCGCGTGGCACGGGTGGCTCGAGAGGCGCGGCTGTCGTTCAACCCCGCGGCGCATGTGCGCCGCGGAAGCTGCTCGACAGGCTGCGGGCATCGCTGCGGCAGAAAGCGCCCGCCCTCTGCTTTGCTTTCGCCCGCGTTTTACGACAACTTTCGGTTTATCATAGCCGCCGAACTTTACCTAGCTGTTTCTTTATAGGCGTCTCGCAGCTGCGTATTCTCGTATTATCTTCAAGTAGTTGCGTGGGGGCGGTATGTATTCTCGTATCAGTAGTTAGTGTCGTGTCCACTAGCTCCGAGTAGAGGGTGCGTTCTGCAGTTAAGGGGAAACCCGGTACACGGAACCATCCCTCGGAGACCCGTGTTATGGCCCTGCGAACGCGCACCCCCGGGGCTAGGGCTCTCTAGCCCGTAACCCGATCCCGATCATCCGGCCCGCTGGGTGCGCTTCTCAGCTCCCCGGCCCTGGATGTGAGGCTAATGACTACACTCCAAGTGCTCCAAGTACAAGCGCCTCCCTCTCTCTCCGGCTGCGCGCCTGACCGGTGCGGCCTCCAAGTCGGCGTGGCCGATGTCATCGTGGCCGACTTGTGGGAGCAAGCGTCGAGCATCAGCGATCAGGGGGCAGCGCAACAGTCTGCATCGGGCGGCGCAATGGACGTGATTGACGATGATGGTAGCCATAATGTGTCGTCGCCTCCGCAACCGAAGAAATCACCGCTAGCTCCTTATCAGACGCTGGGTTGTTGCACGAGTATATGGGACAAAAGCGTCGAAAATGTCCCAAAAAAGCGTGTCTGAGTTTGTTGCAGCCCCACAGCTGGCGCGCGCTGCCAGGAAGCACCGCTCGCGTGTCGGCCGCACTCCCTGGCACCCAGGGAGTGCGGCCGACCGACCAGACCGAGTAGGCTCGACGCCGCGCTCGCTGTGGGGCTGCAACAAACTCGCCGCCGAGCGTGCCACCGACGGCGTCCCGGCGGAGGTGATGGAGTGTGAGACCTGAGGCTGCGGAGGTGACGCCTGAGGTACCGGTCCGTGCACAGCGACTCAGCCGGCGACCGCCACGGGCTCAGACGAGACTTGTCGACTCGTTCCAGCTCAGCTTCACCGTGGTCCTCGGGCGTCTGTCGACGTCAGGACCACCCATACAGCTCGCGGGTTTGAGGTCGCAAGAGCCAAGATGGTGGCGTTTGGACATCCCAACCATCACACAAGACAGCCTGTAGGTGATGGCGGGACGGCGCAGTGTTTGTGGCACTCGGCAGTAGGCACCCGCGGCACGGCCCCGCTGTCGGCTCTCGCGGGCTGCGGAACCGGCCCCAGAAGGGGACGGTCCGGGCGAGTGTGGCAGCTCCTGCGCTAGTATGGGCACCCTCTATTATAGCACTACTGATCCTGGTCATTAGAGCTGCCAGGGATAGCGTCAGGAGCTGGTAGGAGTCAAAGCCCCTCATATTTGAGACATCGTGTCCCATATACTCGTGCAACAACCCACAAGGTGGTGTGCGTCCGTTTTTCGTCACGGGTGTGCAGTGCCTAGATAAGTCTGTGTGCTGTGTGGTGCACGCCCTCCGAGCGGGGCGGGGGGTCTGCCCGTCGGGTTGCTGCCCTAATCCCACCAGGGGTTGACTGCTCTATTTATTTATTTGGCCTGGCGCGCACGCTCTGGCACTTCTGGCACTAACACAGGTACACCACGGGAGCCGCCTAAGCGACTCCAATCTCCTGCGAGGACGGCGGGCGAAGGCGCCGGGTGCTCAGAGATCAGAGTTGCACGCACGTGTGGCAGACGGATGGAGGCTCTTGACGTCCCCATCAATCACTGCTGCCCGACCCACGTGTACAGGGCCACAAACAGCGTCTAAGTTGACGGGTTGGAGGGAATCCCCGCCCGTGCCGGGAACAGTTCGTCCGAGTCATGCGGGAGCCAGGTGTCCCAGCTCGCGTCAAATCCGAGGAAGCGCACCTTTGCCTTGCGTGCGCGGACCGCGATCACCTTGGCTTCCCACCTAGCAGTGGGGTGGTCTGGCGGCGCCCATGCCACCTCCACCGCCTCACCCTTGGTCCGCTTCGTCGAGCGCCACAATGCGGAGGGCCGCTCCTCGTAAGGGCGCAGCTGCGTGAGTGGCCTCCACTCGTCTTCACCCTCGTCCTCGTACCCGCGATAGCGCACGAGCACCAGCCCGTTGGCGGCGCTGAACGCCAGCGCGTCGGCCTGCCACCACGCGTGGCGCATCTCGTCC